CCCGGGAGGGGAGGGGGGCTACTTGCTAACATTAACATACAGTAGATGTGATAAAAGCGGCAGGAAACACGAGATTCCAAGCACTAAAAGTTAGGTCGATTTAATACGCAGCTTTGATCAAAACACCCTCGGCGTTTCGAGAATTTTTTCCTACTCGCGTTCTACAGTCAGACGACTTTGCGTTAAAAAAGCGCTATCTGTGAAAAGGGAATAGGTAAGCACAAAATTTAATTATCGGGGAATTTCTTTAATTGTCTACCCTGCGAGAAGTGTCTACATTTTTGCATACAGTGCCCTAGCCTTTGAATAGTAACGAGCTTGACGGTGAGCTGGTTTTGTTACAAACCTTCTTGTTTTTCATGTGCAAATCGTAGTATTCTCATGCTACCTAGGTTCGATTACCAGCCGCTGTTCGGGAGAATGAGCCCACATCAAAGACCGGACGCGGGAGACGGCGGAAATCGAGCCTACATGTAGCCTGCGTGCAGACGATAACTAAACTGTGATTAGTACCGTCTGCGAAGCAGCGCAGAGATCCTTGTTCTGGACCCCCAACGGACTCAACGAATTACCGAAAGTGCGTTTCGAATTCCCCTTCAACCTGATTGGCGATCACGACAAACAAAACAAAGGCCTTTTTTAACTGGCCAATCGTGGCGCGTACTCAAATCTGGGTACACAGCTGGAAGTCCAGAACAAGGATTTCGGCGCTGTTTCGCAGACGGAGTTAACCAGAGTTTAATTTCGTCTGCGCGCAGGCTAGCCTACATGCTACCAAGCCCGTGAACATGATCATTTACATATGAAAAACAAGCTTGTAACAAAACAAAAGCCCGGCCAGGGCACTGAGAAAAAAACTGTAAAATGGCTCATTGACTGACAACATACAGAGCGGGGGCAGCTGCAGTGTCAATTATTACTAGTTGTTTAATATTATTATTTATATATTATTATTCATTATTATTATTATTATTATTATTTCTTAGTCTCCAAGGAAAAAGACAATAGACTCCATGGCTTTTCGATGGCATGCAAAATAACCGTGAAAATGCAAAATAGGTCAGTGAAGCGTTAATTCATTGCATAACCTAATACATAACCTACTGGAACGAAACTTCACAGTAACAAAGCCTCATTGTAGAAGCCTTATACATTAAGCATCATCTTAGGCTGATGCAGCAAGATCTCCTGTACTGTGCTGTGTACGCAAGATATCACTTCTTCTCTTTGACTCTACGAAGGTGTTTTATGCCGGCCTCCAAGAGCTGACTTTTCAATTTCCTCTGAGCTTTAGAACTTAATTTGATGCAGTTCAACCAGGTTAGTGTTCGGCGAATAAGTTGAACAAGTAATTAGGGCGCCGAAAATAATGTAAAGATTATGTTTACCACAATTTATATTTAGCTTAGTGGCTAATAGCTTCTAAAACTCTCATTATAACTACTTACTGCATGGCACACTATGACCACACTACAAATAACACCAGCTCCATTTTTTTCAGCTGTGTGAACACTGAATATCGAGACAATTTTTGTCTCTGTATGAACATTGACTTGAAGCCGGTGTTCAATTGACACTACAGTCCTGTAGATTTACCCAACTTTGTATGAAAATTACATAACTATGATTCTGATTGCGTCTAAAAACATATGCACCGTTACAGCTACACTAACTTGGTCTATTTTTTCTCTTCATTTTCTAAATTTCGTTTAAAAAATAAATGCCCACCAAATTAATGCGTAATCTTATGCACGAACGATACAAATACATTATATAATTACAGTCAAACCAGGTCAAGCGTACCCCCAAGAAGCCATTAATGAATTTATTATTCAAAAGTTGAATCCGTTGCTAGTTGTAGATTTCAGATTGATCTCTGCATTCTGGTATGTGTAATGAGCCGTGAATTCACGCGAGGCAGTTATGAAATTTCTACCAGCTCCATTTTCCTGAAATTGATGTAAATGTCTTCTAAGAAGCTTAATCCATTCAAAGATTTCCAATCTGACCAAATACAGAGAAGTTCTCGTAAAGACTAGAGGATATTCACTGCTCATTAAGCATGCAGAAATGCCGCTTTGAATTTGACACCAGTTAGGGAACGACTAACCGATTCATTTTTCAAATAATCAATTCACTGATAGAATCTTGCGGGGTACGCTTGACTTGGTTTGACTGTAAGCTCTCTTACGCTAAAAATGCCATAAAATTCCGAAAATAAGCCCCGGGGCTTATATTTTTCAATGGCCCTTTTTGAGGGGCTTATTTTTGGAGGGGCTTATATTCGGAGGGGCTTATCTACGGAGGGAAATTTGCGTTTCAAAATCGATAGGGCTAGCCTTATAGTTGGAGGTAAATTTACCGTTTTTGCTTTGTTTTACTTTGTATTTGAGGGCAATTTTCCAAGTACAAGCCCCCGGGGGGCTTATATTTGGAGGGGCGATTTAACGGAGGGTTTTTTGCGTTACCGGTTTGGGGGGCTTATATTTGGAGGGGCTTATACATGGAGGGGATTATTTTCGGAATTTTACGGTAGCTCATACTCAAATCATACATATGGTGAAATGAACTAATTAGAAATACCTAAAGTAAAACGTATAGCTAGAATGAACCAATGAGGAAGTTAAACATATTTTTTTACTAATTTTGGGAAATTGGAGGGCTGTAAACACTTGGTTGCGGGGAACCAGTGCCTTGGCACTGGCACAAAATGGTGTTGTATTTAGCCTGCGAGTAATTAAGCTCTCCTATTTGGGCAAGCGAAGCGAGTCGCGCGTGCCACTCGCGCGTGTCCCCCAAGTGGAGAGCTTGCTCGCAGGCTACTATTCAAGTAGTTGGGGTGGGGTGGGGGGGGGGGGGGGATTTGTCTGTTCTCTCTTCGTGGCTGTTTACTGCCATATATGGGCTATATAGGTATGCGCCACTGTGAAGCGTATGGTTTTCAAGTAGTTTATTCTGGGATAGGGTGTATAAGTCAGAGAGTTTAGGTCTAGAATAGGGTATCATTTTCCAGGAAACTAATCAATTGATTGAAGATTTTAGTCTCGACTAGGGAAACCAGGAACTGCCACTCAAAAATATCAAAAATTCTAATCGGCAAGTTTAAATTTACTCAACTCAGCCTAAAAGCTACTTTAGGATATGGGGGGATAAGGGGAGTTTAGTCTAGTATAGGGTTTCAAAATAAAGCTGAACTAGTCCTATTATAGGCTATGGGTTCCAGGGTCCCAGCGGCAGATCCCCACCCAATAATTCCTAAAGTGCCCTCCCCGGGTTTTTTAGAACTGTCACATTACTGAACCTTTCTTGAGTCATATGCACTGTTGAGGGGAGCCATGTTCATAAAATTTTAAGCCGCTGATAAGCACCTTTCTGCTGCTGCACCTGATTGCACAGTGCAGGAATCACCTGTAGAAGTTTGCAGATCATGACCTTCTGAGGTTCTTGTAACTCCTTCCTTTTGTCTGGTATGTTATCGAGACCTGTATAACAACCATTGATCAAAATCTTAAATTTCCAGTTGGACTTTTCTGAAAGCCCCACTAGAATTAAAATGCGTCAGAGACCACATCATCAGCCGAAATAATTCGTTTTAAGAAACTGTAATTCCGTGGAGGAGTCTTCAGATTTCGAGAACCTTCATCAATAATTACTCCATTCCGCATCGTTGTATATGCTACGTAGCCTTGCTGGTTTAAAAACGCAGAAGTCTAGGACTAAGTGCAGTTTTGTAAAGATACGCGTTTTGAGGCTTACTAAGCATCAGATCTAGGGTCGAAATGGACCAATGATAAATTTAGATGTTGGAAGATTCTTATTTCAGCAAAGATTCTTTTTTTTTTTATGAAAATGTATATTACAGTGGAGCCTCGATATAACCAACATCTATTCAAAGAAGTCGTCGGTATAAGGAACTATTTTTTCACCCCAATAATGGTAAAATGTATGGCAATATGAAACAGGACCTCGATATTAGTTAACGAACCTCGTTATAACAAACATATTTTGCCAGTCCCTTGGCCCTCCGTTACATCGAGGTTCCACTAGCTGTACTTCTATTCTATTCTATTCGATCTATTTTTCTCTTTCAGTTATGAAGTCGCAAACCACTGACCAAGTTTTGGAAACCATAGGCAGCTTTGGTCGCTATCAGATCGTTCTTAACATATTTTTTAACTTAGCATATGCTTTTTGGTGGTCTGTTCCTGTGATGGGAATGGTTTTCATCGCGGGAGAGCCTGGCTGGAAGTGTAAAAATAAAGCTACCTGTCCCTTTAATGAAACCATTAATCTCGGAGGTGACAAGTACTCCTTCAGATGTGATATTCCAAGGAAAGACTGGGAGTTTGCTGATGACTTCACTTCAATAGTAACTGAGGTATTCATTCACCCCAGTATTGCCATAAAAGCTTAGGGGAGGGGAGTTACAGTATTGTTTTGGTGCGACGAGTTAAGTTAGCAAGGCAACATATTCCAAAAGAGCCAAAAGAAAAATTGTCAATTTTACACCTTTGTAGTAAATGCCAATATGACTGATGGTTAGTAAAACCTGTATACGATCGAATTAATTGTAAGTTACTCTGTGGTGGAAAATTAGATTTCGGGAATCAGGAACCCCAATTGTTTTGAAAGTGTATTCTGGCAGTTTTAAAGATGCCCCCCTCTTTTTCTTTTCTTTTATTTCTTTCTTTTCTTTATTCTTTCTTATTTTCGTTCAACAGTCTTTTTGCCAGTAACATTTTTAATGTAATAATGTTATATTTCTTTGGATTTATAGTTTGACCTTGTATGCGACCGAGGATCTTTGGGTTTCGTCGCGACCTCTGTTATCTTTGCCGGTTTTTTCATCGGGAGCATTCTTGTTAGTCCCATCTCTGACAAGTTTGGCAGGAAGCTTCCTCTTTTCATCTGCGGCTTTTTGTGCTGTGTTTTTCATTTTGCTTCATCCTTTGCTCCTGTATTCTGGTTGTTTGCTCTTTTTCGAGCCATCATTGGGTTCATGATCGGTGAGACTTTAATGTTTCTTTTTCATACTTAATACTTACTAGTGATTTTTTTGTACGAGGCACTTGGGTGGTAATAGGTCAACCTACTAGAAATTGATACGTAATTTACTTCCTCACTAACCTTGGCTCTGAAGAAAATCCGAAGACAATTGTTTAGTATAAACGGTCTAAGTTTGTGAAAGTTAGGTTTAGGGGTGTTAATTTTAGAGGTATTATTCATTCTTTGTGTTCAAGGCCAAGTTGATCATTGCGGCTTCACATCACGCCCGAAGGCAAGTCAGTAGGCAGTCATAGGCTCGAGCTCCTCTTTGTTCAGTGCCAAAACATGATCAACCAAAAGCATTAATATATAGATTTGGCCGGGGCTAAAATCGAAGTTCCCAATAATAAATTTATGATTTAAATCAAACAATTATCTTGTAATCCACAAATCAGTTAACTTTAGATCACATTTATGTGAAGACAGGTCAAGTGATTTTAGAGAAAAATAATTCGCGAACGGTCCAAGAGTGAAACAAATCTTACATCGAGTTAATAGCCTTATGTGTGCACCCCCAAAATAGCAATCATCTTCGATCACATTTTTATGGCTCTTGATCATAGTATATTAGGCCTGGAAAACACAAGCGCCAAATTTGCAGTGGGTCAAAACTGGGGTAAGAAGAGGCCAGTTTAGAGGAGCTTAAAGCCTACTAAAGAGACATTTTTACCGGAAGCAAAGCAAATTCTTCCGGTAGATCTCAGTAATAAAATGTACGTAAAGACTGTAGTTACCAGCCGACAACGGTAAGTGGCAGCCATGTTAAAGTGGGCGTAAAAAAAAGGCCGGCGGCGGTCCGTGTACGGTCACGTGATTGCCAAATTTTCGAGGATGGATAGATTTACTTAGCTATGAGACTACGCTCGAGCGCGCGCAAAGCGTGCGTGGAACTCCGCTATTATAGGTCTTTTTGTTTGATGTTTAAAAACATGCTATTTGTTGTGACGTTTCCAGCTCTAATCCTTCATTAGAGTGCACGTTAGTGGATCAAACATGTGTCGTTAAGTCCAGAATTGACTGATCTTTTTTTCCCTCCCTATATAGGTGCGTACAGCATCCCATTATTTGTACTGTTAACGGAGTTTTCTGGTGTACGTCATAGAGGAATGACGGGGGGTTTGGTATGGACTGGTTTCTTTTTAATGGCTATGGCTTTGGCGGGGTTTGCATACGCCATACGGGATTGGAGAACTTTCACCATGGTGACTGGAGCCTCGGGAATTCTTCTCGTCTCTGGCTGGTTGTAAGTACAAGCAAAGTGTCCGCCGGGGCAAGTCTACGTCTATAACTGCGATGATCTTCGTCATATTTTAAGTTCTTTAGTGTTGTTGTTGTTAAATGTTCAAAGGACAACCCTTTTAGTACGGTTGTTTTACTGCAAACATGGATATGCCGTTATCAGGAAGAAAAATAATTAGAAGCTTTTGCTGGTGTGTGACAAATCCTCGTGCATGGGTTATTATATATTCATTTTTTTTCATAGCTTCATCCCAGAGTCTGTCCGTTGGCTTCTTAAGAAAGGACGGCAATCTGAAGCAAGAACAATTCTCGCTAAAGTTGCGAGATTGAATAAAAAAGAAATGCCAGAGGTAGAACTGAAAATGCCAAAAGAAGAGACACTTGGTGACTTGCGAGATCTGTTTTCTTCGCGAAAAATGGCTCACAGGACCCTAGTCTCATGGCTTATCTGGTAAGGGTGTTTTTGTTTTTACAAGAATATCATAGTTGTACGTATTGCTCGAAAGAAAAATAAATCAAATTACTCTTGTTTCGTTGCTTATTAAGATACGTGGTAAGGGATGCTTATTTCGTAGTTTTCAATGATGCTGAGTACGAAATCGTGAGAAATTACGCAAATGAAGCAGGGTGTTGTTCAGGATTGTGGAATTCTCTTAGCCCCTTTGGCGGGGAATTGTCCACCATTGATGTTTTGCTTGTTCTTTGCTCATTAGGTTGGCTGCCTCCTTTATTTCATGGGGTATAGCCTTTGCGTCTCCATTTGTTGGAGGTAATATCTACGTGAACGTTGTGATATCGTCCTGTGCCAGCGTGCCTGCATATCCAGTTAGTGCGCTCTTGACTCTAAGGTAATTGAACTAATTTTAATCGAACCTCTTGCTCAGAACAACCTCTGCCTTGGAATATGCAAAATGACCTTATATTTTGGTGAACTGGAAGAGCATAACCTACAACAACAACGACCTTGATTTGCATGACCATACAAACACATACAGTATTGCAAAAGCTATGTTTAGGAATCAAAATTACAACACAGGGCAATTACGTTACTTTGATAATAATTTGTCACGAACATCAAAACAAGCTGAAATATATTTTATGAATTGTATATTGATAAAGTAATTAGAAGAGTTCATCAGCTCATTGATCAAACCGTTAATAGGTAACTGGGTAAGAATGAGAATGAGAATGTTGAAGGTTGTTTTGACAATACAATTGAGGAATTTCCATAGGGAGGGATCCCATAGGGAAGCAAAAATTTTAGTTACTCAGTGTTTTGGTACATAGATATTCAGGTGCATTTCCCTAACACCTCTCTTAGTGGCGCTTATCCATAGTGGAGCCTCTCGCACACGATTGCACGTGTAGCGGAGCACCATGGGTAAGAACATTTGGATGTTAAATAGTCCAGTTTCGAGTTCGCTAATGACAGCTGAATAACAGAAGTGAAGAGGCATTTTTTACAGACTTAGCCTCCATCTGAAGTAAATTTATCTACAAATTCCAACGAGAGGAAGACCTTTTGGTTACTCTGTGTATTGCGTCTTTTCAAATTTCAAACACTTACTTGTGGGAATTTTAGCCTGAATTTCATCTGATTACTTCGAGTCTTAATTACTCCCTCATCAACGTCTGAATCGACCGGGCAGTGACGTCACTACTCCTTCGCTTTCATTCATGCAAAAAGTAAAACACGATTTTCAACTGTGGGAAATCAAGAAATATCGTTTGAAAATGTCTACATGATACAGAACAGCTGACAGAATTGCTTTTATTACTCTTTTCGATCGTAATTCATGTTTTTAACGTTCAAACTATCAATATCAACTGCATGCAGTACTCTCTTAACGGGTTGTAATTCAAACTCGGTCGCAATCACCCAATGAAATAAATACAAACACGAAACACTTAGTTGAAAAACACAACAATTTACTTTAATTGAAAAGAAGCTAATTAACGAAGAAAAAATACAACATGGAAACAAGAAAGAAAAGCTAACAGAATCATGACAACATGACATTGCTCTTGAGAAACTTTGCGTAAACAAAATCACTGCGGAAACCACAAAGCGGCTCTAAAAGAAAAACCTAGCGACTCTCCGCAATGATTCTTCATTCGCAGTTCAATTTAGCTATTCAGTTTGGAAGACAAGGACAATTTTGCTGTTTACGATGAAGATTGTCGAAATGTTTGAACTCCTTGCATGCATATGCATGCCGCCGATGCGATCCGCTGAATATCAAGCGACAATCCCGCTAAACTTTCTCATAATTATACATAATTATGCGCATGTTTAGACAACGAACCCATCAAAATCACTACCCGGTTTTCGGGTAGTAGTGACCTGATCACCGAACAGCATTAACGGCTGGTCGCTTCAGACGTTTGCTGAGAGGAGAAAACGACTCGAAGTAATCGGATGAAATTCAGGCTACGGGAATTTGTGAAATATTTTGCTTTATGTCGAGGCTACCCTATATAAATGTGTCGTTAATGTTTGTATTCAGCGGTAACTGTTAATTCAAAACTAGACAATTTTTTCCTGAAAAAATCGTTCGTAGGTACGTCCGTATGTCCACCCTTTCATGTTAGCGGATGTGTAGTATCTTACTACCTTAAAAACCAAGGAATATACAAATTGCGCTTAACTTGATATTGGACATCCCTGTCATGATCAATTGACAGCTGCCATAATAGGATACCTGCTGAACAGTGTCATGACTGCATCGCAAGTCCACTTGCACAACTCATTGAGGCGACGTGTTCTTTTAAAGGTCTTCGCTAACCGTTTATGGTTTCAAGAAATCGCAGGCTCAGAACACTTAAAAGTACTCGGGAGAGCTTCGCTTTCAGGTCTTCGCTAAATCTGTATATTAAAGTATCTGTTCTGGTCAAAAAATGTTAAAATATTTACTGCACTATATTTCTGGGAAGGTAAAATGCCTTGAAAGAATTGTTTATATTTCTTTCAACTTTTTTTTCGAAGGGTTGGTCGCCGAAAAATTCTCATGATTTCGTTTTTGGTGGCTGCTGTTGGTGCAATAGGTGCGCTCCTACTCACTGACAAAGCAGAGGACGATCAAGGTACGTCATCAACTTAAATCTCATGACAAGGATGCAAGTATCGAGTATCGTTTAGGAGTATCGAGTTCCTTAGAAATTCTGAGCTATTCCCACAACTCGCATTCTTTCCTATTGTAAGTAATGCAAGGCAAATGAATTTCAATTTTTCAAAAAATCGAACACTTACTCATGTATTGAGATCCCCAATAAATCAAGAAACAGGAAAGGAAAGGAGAGAAAAGAAATATGCCAGAAGCCACTATCGCTAAGCAACTTTTAAAATCTCAGCTCCGTCCTTGTTACCCGCCTATTCTGATCAACTGAATGCCGCCCTTAAACTAGGTTAACTTAGACTGATTGCTACATTAACACCCAACATCTTTTCTCAATCTATCCCTCAGGATACTTGGCAGGGAAAATCTTCATGTCTATGGTGGTTGCCAAGTTTAGCATTGAGATTTCATTTTCGTTGGTGTATATTTACTCTGCGGAGCTGTTTCCGACAACTTTAAGGTGAGAGACTTTACTATATCGCTCTCGGTTTTTGATGCCTTAATTGCTTTAGGGTCGTGGCTGATAACCAAAACATTTTGCCACGAGTATTTTCGTTCTACAGCTATTTTGCTCATGCAACGAGACACTACAGAAAAGATAATATTCATAACAAAATTTGACGGCCAACTATAAATCTCTGCATCTCAAATTTACCTTATAAACCAAACAAATTAGCATAACAGCTACAGTTTTGCATTAACGGTTCAAACTTGTTCTTTCGTTTTTCTCAGGAGTGTTGGCATGGGAACATCAACAGCATCTGCTCGTGTGAGCGCCTTTGCCGCTGCTTACGCGCCTCTTTTGGTAAGTGACCACCCTGATTGTCCTTATCGATTGGGTCTAGGGGAAGGGCCCTTAGGAAACTTGTGCAGTTTTAGCAGCCGCCGCCGCCATCGTCGTTGTTGCTTCAGCTCCCTTTTGACTCTCGTTCCAAAACAATAAGAAGCCAAGGATATTTTGAGTTGCGAGAGCTAATCAAAACGTGCGAAAACTAATTTCTGTCCACTGATTTGGTAAATACCAGGAGCCTAATACTTATAACTGGAAGCTAAATCTTAATGCCTCGACTGTTACAAAGGTTTTACATGCATTTTGATGGGTCAATTATTTTTTACTAGTAATAGGACCGGCTCTCAGCGACATTTCAGGTTAACTCAACGTTTGCTTCACCTTTCTTTTTCAGCTCACCGTTCACCGTTTCTTGCCGTTTGGAATCATGGCTGGCCTCGCAGTTGCAGCAGCAATTGCAGTTATGACTGCACCTGAAACCCATAACCAACCCACCTTGGAAAATTTGTGCCTCGATCAAAATGATGACGATAAAAACAACAAAAATGCTGATAATGTGGACAGCGAGAAAAGCACCTTGATGTAAATTACCTCCGCACTTCAAATACACGTTTTTAAACCTGTTTAAACCTGTTTAAAAACAAGCTAAGGCTTTAGCACATTTGCTTACGCTTATAATTGCTGTATTAACGCGAGCCTAGTGTACTCGTTTTTCAATGACGCGGAATGGCGACCAGGTTTAGACCAAGTACAATGTAGCAATCAATTAGGAATTACACTCTTCTAAGTAAACGAGAAGGAATAATCGGGAGAAAGGATGAAAGAAGGCGAATTTACTTTTTGTTAAAGAGCAACGTTTTCACTACCGCTGTAGCCGTCATGGAACTTCCTACTTAGGGTTGACTGACGTGTGGCGGGAAAAAATACTTCCGGTCACAGTGTTACAGGCTTTCGTAGTCTTTTCTTAAGGTAGAGAGCTCACCGCGCGGTTGTACAAATACTCATGACTTTTAGCCAGCTCCACCTGAACTCGAGCCGAGCGTGGCACGCGACATAATGTCCCGCGATCAAGGGAAGTCAGATGTCATTTGACGTTTTAATGTAGACGTCAGCCGCGTCACTTGGACATGCACGCTCCATGGAAACGCAAACGATCGCTCGTAGTGCTCTCTCTCCCTTGGTAGCGTGGCGTCCGGCCTGGAGAAACCATTGCTCGCAAAGCAAAGTTTTGGTTACGTGGTAAGAAAGCAATATTTAGCTGTCCAGTCCATCTAGAGTTTATTTCAATATCATTTTGTATCCTGGTCCAACAAAGATCGGGCTACAATTCATGTACTACTGCTTGAATGGACCTTATTCTTTTAAAACTGATGTAGTAACTAGGTACTGTGTAGTGCCAGAAAATATCCTTACCCTCCCCACGTAGGGCATTTTTGCTTTAGACCCCCCACCCGCCTGGAATTTCCATTCCACGGGGTGCCTGTCAGACCCTAGCACCCCCTGCATTTCCGTAATTTTCCAGCTTGGTTAGGCACCCCCTTGAAAGAATATTTCCATCAAAAAAGCTGTTGCATTATACTATTAGGCGAAAGACAATTGTTGATAAAGTGAGGAAAAATATTTTGATTAGCGTGAAAACAGTGTCTAATAACCTCAATTTTGCCTTGTGAAGGTTTTCCTTTAGTTAATAATTAAGTCATTGAGAAACATGGAGGGGATACCGTCCAAGACAACACTACTCAAGTTGCCCTGTGGATGACCGAACAGTTGTTATAGTCACTGTGTCGTTGGGCGCCCCTGTCAACTATCGCCTAACGCTTCCACTACTTTCTTTACCCATATAGTTTTATTTTTCAGTTTTACTCTCGGCCATTTTGCCATGTCCTGAGTGTGCGCTTTAGTACCGGTCTTGAGACTGAAACTTGGTAGCTCATCAGAAATTCATGATCAGAACTCTGGAAAAGAAAGTCTCCGACCATAACTTTAATTTGTCTCTGTCATCAGTGAAGCGGATATTGAGGCTGCATCCGCTTCTGGGCCCGTTTCTCGAATGTCCCTAAAGCTGTTGTTGTTTACATGCAAGACAGAGATTTCAGTAGTTTTGCATCTAACATGATAAAATTATCAGTTAATGAAAAATATGGAGTATTTTGCTAGCCAAAACCCGCGCCCCCCTTATTCCTTTTATTTCGATTTGAATATTTGATTTCGGGCCTGAAAAGTTTTTTTCTGAAAGGCATTGTGGGTGGTTTTGAGTTCTCTTTTTTTCAAAAAAATTTGAAAGAATTGGCACGAAATTTAAGGCCATGGAAATGTGTTTGCGAGTGCTAAAAGAAAGCAACAAAAGTAGGTTCGACAGCTACAGTCGTCAGGAACAGTGTATTGATCATATCCCATATTACCTTTCGGGATTGTCGCGTACACATTTTTTTCAACAACCTTTCTCGAAATAGCTGTATATTCAATATTATTAAAAACTGAATCATTGGATAATGCAATTCTAGCATTTTGATTGGCTTAGCCGTTATGGTATATGAGCTAATATACCATGTTCTCCATATATGGTCGGTGTACGCGTCAGTTTAAAATTAGCCTGCGTAGCAGGCGCTTGCAAGTAGTGGGCACAAGAAAAAACGGGCGCGCGAGAAGGAGACACGCGAGGGGAGAGGAAGCGCCTGCACGGAAGGCCCCCGAAAATCGTTTCCCGCCCCCTCTCTAATTACTTGGCAGCCGTTGCGTGATCTGTCAAAAGTTTTGACAGAAAACGACTGACCTCGCACAAACAAAGCAAGCCGCCAAAAAGCGTTGTACATTTTATCTTCGGACTAAATATATCTGTTATAAAGATCAGCTGGGTTATCTGATTATAGAGCCATGGAGCAATAAACTGATGGTTAACACACAGCTTTAAATCGTTTTTCAACATGGGCACAATAAATAGGAAATAACAAAGTCAAAACTGGGTATCTTTTAAAGAATGCATGCTGTGTATTATAAAAACTAAAAATATTGTTCTGGTCAGACACCAACGATCACAGCGTACGTGGAAAATGACCATATTGCTTTTACTGCGCTAACTGGCAGCCGTTTTTGGAGCAGACATGTCTTACTAAGCGGACCTAAACCTCAGAACACAAACTGTACCGACATGTTTTCTACTGCAGTAACGAGACATAAACAACAGACCTCAGGTCGCCTCCGAGCGGCGAATAATACAACAGTGAAATGTTTTTTTCAAATTCATACCCCTGGTAAGTGTTTCATTTCATCAATCATGTCCAAGTTTTGATGGTATACATTCCATCGACAACACAAGCCGCCAAGTTCTCCTGAGCAAAGAATATTTCCTCTGATCTTCATCGCAACGATTCGACAAATCTTTTGTCTCTCGCCACTTCTGTTGATGCGTATCCGATGTCAATTCTTTCCATCGTGAATACCGTTTGAACACTCCAACTTTTCTTTGAGATTACAGCCACATAGTCCCATTAAACCAGATTGAAGTGACCTCCGAGACCTGAACTTCGATTGTATACAATTTAGTGGTTTCAGGACCCAGTGGTGTAATGCAAGATCTTGACTACGTTGTCCATGTACTATTGATTGACAGTTTTCTCGCCCCGCGCGGTTAATTTTTCCCTCGGGAGCCTCTCGACCAATTGGAAATATCCGCACTCATAGAGTGCGAGTTGAAACGATTTTCGGGGGCCTTCCGTGCAGGCGCTCCCTCACCCCTTGCGTGTCTCCCTCGCGCGCGCCCGTTCTCTCTTTCGCTCGCTACTTCCATCCAAGCGCCTGCTACGCAGGCTAGTTTAAAATTGGAAGCTAGCTGAGATTTTTTTTCGCGAAGGATAGAACGGCGCCCGAAGCAAATCGTTTTAATTCATTTCTTAGAATACTAGAAATGCAATTTCAACGAAAGAAAAAAGACAAAAACAAACAAAAAAGCCACAAGAGCTTGTTTGAAAGTTTGTCGAAAAACACATGAAAACACATGGAACTAAAGTACCTTGACCAGCTACGAAAGAAGACAAGTGTTGTTTCTTCATGATCGCGAAGCCATTCGCCGATCGAGTCACTCGCCGATAGATAACTGCAGCTTGTTTATCCGACATCAGGAATATAAATCACAAGTAACCAGCTACAAATACAGGCTATGCAGCCATTCACTAGAGCAATCGAGGCGGCAGTATAGCTTCTTTTCTCGTTCAGCAAAACCAGCTTGTGGCTTCAAACAACTTCATAACAAGCGACCGAGGTAATACCGGTAGTTTTCCTCCGTTGTTCTTACTTTTATAACAGCACCGAAAATCCAAATTCATAGTAATTTCGACGGCTGTCACCTAAAAATTCCTTTCCTTCACATTATCTGCCAGGTTTTTTTAGCTGTTCTGCTGTGTAAAATCCTAGAATCCCGATGAGTTTTTAAAAAACTAATGTTCATCGCTACAATGTTTTGATTTTTCATTCATGCAGTCTAGGCGAGTCCGTTCGTGCGTTGACAGTTTTGATAGACGTGTGACATGTCAATAGCGGAAGTCCCTTGTCTTTTCCGGTTTGTTCTAGTCGGGGCGATTCAACGAGATTTTGTGGGCGTTTTTAATAAAACAATTATTCCCCTCGGGCTTGTTGGATATGAAATGATTATAGCCAACTCGGCGCAATGCGCCTCGTTGGCTATCTATCATCTCATATCCAACGCGCCCTCGTGGAATAATTGTTAATTATTAAAAACTGAATCATTGGATAATGCAATTCTAGCATTTTGATTGGCTTAGCCGTTATGGTATATGAGCTATTATACCATGCTCTCCATATATGGTTGGTGTACGCGTCAGTTTAAAATTGGAAGCTAGCTGAGATTTTTTTTCGCGAAGGGTAGAACGGCGCCCGAAGCAAATCGTTTTAATTCATTTCTTAGAATACTAGAAATGCAATTTCATCGAAAGAAAAAAGACAAAAACAAACAAAAAAGCCACAAGAGCTTGTTTGAAAGTTTGTCGAAAAACACATTAAAACACATGGAACTAAAGTATGGTGGCCGATATAGACATAAGACGAATAATAGATGGCAAAACGTATACAAACTTAACAAAAAACACCCCAACTTAATTAACATCATGTCAACTTAATGATACCTAGGCAAACTTAATAAAACACATGCAAACTTAATAATGCGCAGGCAAACTTAGTAAAGAGCAAGCAAACTTAATGATACGCGTGCAAACTTAGTAAAGAGCATTCAAAGTTAATAATACGCATGCAAACTTAATAAAACGCACGCAAACTTAGTAAAGAGCATTCAAAGTTAATAATACGCATGCAAACTTAATAAAACGCACGCAAACTTAGTAAAGAGCATTCAAAGTTAATAAGTTAATAATACGCATGCAAACTTAATAAAACGCATGCAAACTTAGCAAAGAGCATTCAAAGTTAATAATACGCACGCAAACTTAGTAAAGAGCATGCAAACTTAATAATACGCATGCAAACTTAGTAAAGAGCAAGCAAACTTAATGATACGCAAGCAAACGTAATAATATGCATGCAAACTTAGTAAAGAGCATTCAAACTTAACAATACGCATGCAAACTTAATAAAGCGCGTGTAAACTTAATAATACGCTTTCATACTTAACGGAACATGCGCCACCTTAACAAAGAGCATACAAACTTAATTTTGTGCAAACGTACTAAAACGTGCGCTAATTTAACAAATCACTAAGTTTGCATCCTCTTTACTAAGTTTACACGCGTATTATTAAGTTTGCATGCTCTTTACTAAGTTTGCACGCGTATCATTAAGTTTGCTTGCTCTTTACTAAGTTTGCATGCGTTTTATTACGTTTGCTTGCGTATTATTAACTTTGCATGCTCTTTACTAAGTTTGCATGCTCTTTACTACGTTTGCATGCGTTTTATTAAGTTTGCATACTCTTTACTAAGTTTGCATGCTTATTATTACGTTTGCTTGCGTATCATTAAGTTTGCTTGCTCTTTACTAAGTTTGCGTGCGTATTATTAAGTTTGTATACTCTTTACTAAGTTTGCATGCGTATTATCACGTTTGCTTGCGTATTATTAAGTTTGCATACTCTTTACTAAGTTTGTTTGCTCTTTACTAAGTTTGCATGCGTTTTATTAAGTTTGCATACTCTTTACTAAGTTTGCATGCTCTTTACTAAGTTTGCATGCGTTTTATTAAGTTTAGATGCTCTTTACTAAGTTTGCATGCTCTTTACTAAGTTTGCATGCGTTTTATTAAGTTTGCATGTTTTTTTCTAAGTTTGTGTACGTTTTGCCATCTATTATTTGTGTGTAGTGCCTATATCGGCCACCATACTAAAGTACCTTGACCAGCTACAAAAGAAGACAAGCGTTGTTTCTTCCTTCATGATCGCGAAGCCATTCGCCGATCGAGTCACTCGCCGATAGATAACTGCGGCTTGTTTATCCGACATCAAGAATATAAATCACAAGTAACCAGCTACAAATACAGGCTATGCAGCCATTCACTAGAGCAATCGAGGCGGCAGTATAGCTTCTTTTCTCGTTCAGCAAAACCAGCTTGTCGCTCCAAACAACTTCATAACAAGCGACCGAGGTAATAGTTTTTCACCGTTGTTCTTACTTTTATAACTGCACCAAAAGTCCAAAATCACAGTAATTTCGACGGCTGTTACTTAAAAATTCTTTTCCTTCACATTATCTGCCAGGTTTTTTAGCTGTTCTGCTGTGTAAAATCCTAGAATCCCGATGATTTTTTAAAAGAACTAATGTTCATCGCTACAATGTCTGCAATGTTTTGATTTTTCATTCATGCAGTCCAGGCAAGTCCGTTCGCGCGTTGACAGTTTTGATAGACGTGTGAGATGTGAATAGCGGAAGTCCCTTGTCTTTTCCGGTTTGTTCTAGTCGGGGAGATTCAACGAGATTTTGTGGGCGTTTTTAATAAAACAATTATTCCACTCGCGCTTGTTGGATATGAGATGATTATAGCCAACTCGGCGCTACGCGCCTCGTTAGCTATCTGTCATCTCATATGTAACGCGCCCTCGTGAAATAATTGTTAACTAGAAACGAAAACTCATGCCTTAAGTCTTCACACTCAAGGAGAGGTTTGTAGACTTGAAAAATAGCGCTACATCATCTACCACTCCACAAGGCCACCCTGCCTAGATAGCATTTCTCCGATTACTTTGCAATACTTTCTTAGTTGCGTGTGCTAATGTAAGTTTTTTGATGCTGGTTAGCCTGTGCAAGGATTTGAAAAAGGGGGAGACAGGGCTTAGAGCGAATTGCTTACC